AGCAGTGTATAGATAATACGTCTGTGATGAAACATTGCAGCCAAGCTCTGTATAAGGAAACCAAGTAGTTTCCATGAAGTCCCTAACCTTGTAGCTATCATACTAAGCAGCCATGTAAGGGCTCTAGGAAGGAGAACTCCCCTTCAACAGAACCAGAGATTCACCTAATGAGGTCAAGCAGTGTATCAACCGTAGTGACGTTGGGGGTGGTGCCTGTTCTGTCGATGTGGTCAGCGTCTTGGGAGACACCAGGCTTGATCGTCATCACCAAAATAATACCTGCAAAGAGAGAGAATATTATTTGACATAGAGTTACACACAGCAAAACAATAGTACAGCCTCAAGGTAAGGTAGGGGCCAGTTAGAATCAAGGTAAACCAAGGCATTCAAAAGCTCTACACAGAGTAGGCAGAGCCGTCCCTCCCTCCGTCACATCTCACCACTACAGCCAACAAGCAGGAATCTCGTGGAGATGCTGATTTAGAACATTTAAATTAAAAATCTATGAGCTAAACTCCAAAACTGTGGTATTGTCATGATTCTTTTACCGCTCATCTGATCCACCTGCTCCTGCCTCTATTTAATTTACTTGCATCCAGCTATCAGGGTGAGCTTATCTTGTTATCCTTCTCGGGGGCCAGTGGAGAGAGTGGTTTTTTTTGCATACCATAGTTTTTCTGGTTTCCTGATCCTGACCTGTTCTGCCTCTCATCCACTGAGCATGCCTGTTTCCATCTGATCTCAGTGGAGAGAGTGGTTTTAAGCATTACTGAGTGTTTCTGATGACCTGATCCTAACCTGTTCTGCCTTCGACCACTGGGCCTATCTGTTCCCATCTGAACGGTTTGCCTGAATTATCTGTGGAGTCCTGGACCCCTCAACCAGCCTGTTTCCATTCTGATCTGTATCCCCAATCTGGCTTCAGACTCCTGAATGTTCTCCGGGGCTTTAGCATCTGGGAAACTCTGGGCGGTGCCAAATGCATTGTTGGGATCTGGAGCTGTACCACCTTCCTACAGCAGAGTGCGCCTTGGGTCCTCCTGAGCTGAGCCTCCAACACACCTGTGGCGCATCTCATCATCAGAGGATCCACCACTATATAACCTGCCTTCAGACCTTGCTTCAACGCCGCAGTGTTGATCTAGTTTGGTTAGCGACCAGAGCCTAGTAAACCTGAGAATCTTAGCTATCTCTTGATGAGATAAGATTCTAACTCTTCCTTGTTTTTGCCTCACAGGAATCCTGTCTCTCCTTGAAGCTCTGGATGAGCTTAATCTGCCGAGCCTCCCCTCGTGAGCCAAACCTGAAGACTGTTCTCTGGATTCCCCTGCAGCTCTTGGCTAACAGCTGGAAACTCAAATCAAGGTCTGCCCTCAAAGTCAGAAGTAAGACGCTGAAGCAATTATTGGACTCTGCTGAACAAACAGTCTCTGGACCCAACAGTTTCCTCTCTCAAAGAGAAACCCGGACTCCTTCAAGGTATTCCTCCGAAATCTCTAAGACTCATAACTCATCAGTGCGTTTGCTAACTGAACTGTCATCCCTGCAGACTCCAGTGAACCTGCCCCCAGACCAGTTCCAGTTCCAGTACAATATTCTTGTGCTTGTGTTTTCAATAAACCTTGTTAAATATTGGGTTTACTCTGAAACCAATCATGACATGCATCTTGTTTGCAGCCCATCGGCTGGATCCTACCTTGTTCTCTGGTGATGGACTGAATTGTTAAACCAGCTTAATGACACAAATGGATGATCATCCTCCATCAGATTATCATGGTCACTAACCCGTGTGTCTCTCAAACAGAGTTTCCAGTCGTAGACGCCCTAGCCACTGATACCACAGATCCAAGCGCTTTGTCTTAAATAAATGCTTTGAATTATCCCACTGTCTGTCTCCCCTTGAGTATTGGGTCCTTCTGTCCTGTGTCATGACAGGTATATTTACTTAAGGTTATCTAATGATCATCTTAAACTAGTCTATGCCTCCAGGGATGTTAAAAAACCCATAAGATAAGAAAGACAAAAAACTCACCAAGAATCACTGCAATGATGGTTGTTGAGAAGTAATAGACGACAGCTCGAAGACCTATTTTTCCAGACACCTCAGAGTCCAGTGCAGCGACGCCTGTTAGAAACAAGTCCATAATCACACATGGAGACATGAAGGAAGCCATTTAC